TTTGCGTTCGAATCTCCACTTGTGCAAAAACTCTGAAATGAAAATGAAAAATCTTTTGATTTTTTATTAGGCTTGGGCGGTATCCAAATTTTGATACCGTCAAACCTCCTCCCTATTTAACCCCGGTACCCGGTATTACCATGCATAATAAAAAAATTTGACGTAAGACTCAGACAGCTGTTGGCTTGTGCCTAAACCATTTAGAAACTGAATACCATATATAAGACCTTAGGTTCGCGGTCACCTGTTTGTCTTTTTCGTATTAGAGATCTGCGCAGGACGCTCTCTCTCATTCACACACACAGGCATGCACACACACACAAACACAGAATGCTCGCTTGCTCGGAAGCGATATTATTAGACCACGGGCCCGCCCCCTTTCAAATTACACCAGAGTCACCGACTGCTCTCGCGCTTTATTCAGAAATTCATTTCTGCCCCGTCTCCCTTATCGTATGGTTGAAAAATACTGTCAGAAATACTGCCAAACTGCAGGTTACTTGGTGCGCGACTCGCCACCTCACCTCTCCCTCTCTCTCTCCCTCTCTTTCTCTCTCTCTCTCTCTCTCTCTTCTCCACACTGTCCCGTAATGACGCATACACATTTGTAGGCATTAAAAAATAATATTGATTATTTACTGCTTATCTCCTATTTAAGTGCCTTGTTTTTTATGACGTTATAATGGTATTGAAACTGACACCGTTGCTATTTTTAGATCTCGCGGTATACCATATTATCGTATTACCGGCCAAGCCTAATTTATATATTTTAATACTGTTAATAAAGTCTAGATAGGATACCGCTGCAAATACGCCATCAATATTGCATTATTTTAGTAGCACTGTATAACAATAATTATGACTTTTACAGTACTGTAATGGTTGGGTTTAAGGTTGGGGCAGACATTAATAAAATACAATAAATGGGAAATTTAATTAATATTATAAATAATTCTCATTAACTTTGGACCGCAACCATATCTGATCTAGCAACAACCCTGTTTATGACCAAAACAAGACAATTATTCACAGAGCAAACATGTTAAAAAAACAAAAAACAAAACACCTTACAAGAACATTTAAAACCTAACATCGATAGCTGCATCACCCTGGATTCGAACCCTTCATCTCTGCATGCTCGTCAGGAACTCGCTTCACTAAATCACTTGAAGCCTCAACTGTACAACGTGGGGTTTAATACCTCAATTTGCTTAACTGTTTCTTTGCTGAAGCTTCCAGAGAAATACACTACAAATGACCACTAGGAGTGGGGTTTCAAAATTTCGACACATTTGCTTCGACTGTTTCAGTGTTTCATGAAGCCTCGCTTTGCCCACTATTAGTTCACAGAGAGCAGCATTCCAACAAATAACTGGAAATGTTACAACTTCTCTTTCCGGAAAATTGGCAGAATAAATTTACCGGTATTTTCAAAAAGGGCCTGTTCATGCATACAGATTTTTCTGGAAAACTGCTGGTAATTTTCCAGAAAGGTCTGTATGTGTTAAAGAGGCTAATGTCACTAGGTAGTCTTCATCGGCCACCTGTGAATAACATTAAAGGGCCATGAAACCCCCACGTTTCAGCAGGGTGTTTTCAAACCTCTACTTTGGAAAAAGTCAGAAAAGTGGGCGTGTCCAGCTCTGTTTAGGGGGGAGTGTCGGAGGAACTAAAGTGGGAGGGTGTGGGAGTGTCTATTTGGGCACGCGCGAGTTTCAGTCAAAATACTCACACACAGGAGAAAGTGATGGTGTTTAACCTACATGGACATCTGTAGTCGAATTATTTGCCAAATTATTAAATGGTGGACTTTAACTGCAGTTTGGCTCTTTCATTCAGGGAATTCATTCATGCCCCTCGCGACAAACGAGATATTTGATTCGAGGAGCTGCTCTAAGCGTGTATTTTTCATGCAATGTTTGATACCGCACGGCGAATGAGAGAAAAAAAAACCTCCGCATTTCCCGGAAACTTAAATGCACACGGCAGGTAACGTCAGAAAGCCGCGTGTGTTATTCTGGTCACAAAATGCGGTGTAAACCCTACACGAGGTTAAAGTTTGGTTGTGGTGCTAACATGTTTACACTCTGTGCAATAGTTAACTTAGTTCGATACGAACAAACTGAATAAACAAAGAGCACTGGTCACTCACTTACCAAATCTGTAGAGACAGGACAATCACCAGCAACTAGAGCCGCGTCTTTATGAAGAGAATACTACAAGCGAATCTGGATCTCATCGTTTGCAGATGAGAACAGCTCTCAGGTAAACAATAATCCTCCTTAGAAACGTAAGTTATTGTTGTCGCGCGTCGCGTACACTGTTAATCCACACGTGATCCAGATGAGCTCTCACAGAGAGAAAATGAAAACGAAACTTAACTGCACCAAATTATAAAAGCAACACTTCACGCTTGTTTTGCCAACACAACGTGGCGTCTCTGTCGTGTAAACACGGTGACAGTAAATGAGCTATTTTCTGCACTTTTAAATAATTTCTTTATTACTCGCACTTCCAAAAGGATAAAAAGATCTGCTCAAACAGACACAATAAAAACAACATCACTGTTACTGTTAGTGTTTAGAGAAACTGGATCCCCGAACCAACCATTTCAGCCACTGTGCAAAAAAGAGCTGACGCTGCAATGTGTATGATGAGTAAATTCAATTAGATTTTGACCTTGCATGGAAGTAAACCTTCTGCAGGAAAACGCCAAATCTTTAAAATAGCATAATGAGGCACTTTTAGCGGCAAAAATGAAACATTTTAAGGCTTAAATTTTACATCGTCGTTCAATTAAAAATGATTCAAACTGCACAAAACGAAGAAAAATAAATTGTCATGCTGAGGCTATTGTAATGCTGCCCGCAGCCGAATGGCATATTCATTTTGCATAATAAAAGTATATATTTCTGGATTTATCACCACTACAAAGACCCCAAGGAAGGGCGGGGGGGCTTCAGTGAATGTTTGACTCGCTCGCTCTTTGCAACAGGCAGAGTGTTCTGCATGACTAACCAAAAGCAGAGGACTCAATAAGGACAGACAACACAGCTCAAATCAACAGAGACAGAGTGAGAGAGAGAGAGAGAGAGAGAGAGAGAGAGAGAGAGAGAGAGAGAGAAAGAGAGAAAGAAAGAAAGAGAGTGCAGATGAGAAAAAAGCCCCAACAAAAAGAAGTGAGGCTATCACAGCTCAAGCAAATGTAGCAAACAAACATAGCATACCTAGCAAACATCCAATAATTCATGTTTTTAAAATTCTGTTGGACCTGAAAACTAAAACGTATAAACCATACACAAATACGAATCTAATAAATGTGTTTACTAACTAAAGCTCTTTTAGTATGGTTCTTATGGAAGCTTGATTCCACCATGGAATAAAAAAACAGGCAATTGCTGCCCTTTATTGAACAAATTAAATATTTTTCCTCTCATTTCTGAGTTTATATCTTGCAATTAAAACAGGGATTCCCAAACATTTCAGCCTGCAACCCCTAAATTTACAATGCCAGTGACTCGCAACCCCCAATATTCTTGGAGGTGGTTTTAAATGTATAAACGTTGCACACAAACCAACAGGCGCAAGTCTATTCATCATTTAATTTAATTTAATTTATTTCATCATTTACTAAGCCGACCAATCACAGTTCTTGTGCTACATGTCGTGACGTGTAGTTACATTTTTTTAAAAGTGTGCATCAGCGACAGCCACTGCGATGGCTATGCGAATACTCCCATACGTGTGCGCTTGACACAGAAGTATAATTCAGCCTTTAGCCCCTATATTAATCTGGGGTCGCCACAGCGAAATAAAACGCCAACTTATCCATTCACATCCATTCACACTCATACACACACATACACTACAGGCAATTTAGCTTAACCAATTCACCTGTAGGGCTTTGGGGCAAACCGGAGCACCCAGAGGAAACCCACGCGAACACGGGGAGAACATGCAAACTCCACACAGAAATGTCAACTGACCCAGCCGAGGCTGGAACCAGCGACCTTCTTGCTGTGAGGCAATTGTGCTACACACTGCACCACCGTGGTCAGCATTGCTAAAAAATCTTTTTTAAATGACACAGTATTTGTCCTTTAATATGAACTGTAATTTACTGTAGGACATGTATGCGGTATGCTACTGTATTTTAAAATTTCACTGTAAAAATTACTGTATATTTTACAGTAAAAATATACAACACTGTAAATACAGTGTGGAAATAAGGATTTAGCGCATCATGTTTTGTCCTGGGATTAATTTTTCTAAAGGACCTATTGACATGGTTGCTGAAGAACTACTGAGAGATTTCAGCTGCTGTCTGGGCTTTCACTGCCTTCCTACACCTCCCTTTCTTCATGTGTTCAATGCTTTTTCCCTGTGTCATTCCATTTTACTACGCATAACTTAATTTGTAAACTAATTACAGTAGATTTGTTTTTCTTTGCATATTTGGATTTCTTTGGTTGTTACCAACATTCAAGTGTTTAAAGCATCTAAATACAGTATTTTGCTGTAATTGATTTACAGTAAGTTACTGGCAAACTGCTGCCAGTAAGTTACTGTAGATTCTGCAGGAAATTATTAACAGTGTAACACAACATTAGAATCGACCATACTGTATTTGACCCAATATTGGATTTCAACAGCCCAGCGTTTTTTTTTTACATTGAAATCTTAAGACCATAAATTAATAGCTCAAACTGCGAGACCTTAACTCTCTGAACCGTGAAAATTGTTATATAAATCTTTGCTATTACCCCCTTTTTGATCACTTCTGTAGTAGCAACAAGCATCAATATTGAAATTACACAGAAGGTGGTTTTTAATGTGAGATTCAGTGGCAGTTTCTTAAAGTCAGTAATCTAAAATGGGTTTATTTAACTGGAGTTTTTTTTTTAATTATTAGGATCAGTACCACCAGACCCCTTAGTTAAAATATCAAGCAAATCTGCAGACAAGCTGAAACCGGCACAAGATAAAGGCTTGAGTCTTACTGTATCTTTTTGGTCCATCCTCCAAGCAGAAGGAGAGGGTCAATGTAGCGTCCTCCTCAAAGAACTCTGTAGCAAACGCATCCCACCACAGACTGTCACTCTCCTGGGAAAGAGGAAGAGTCACGGGTAATTAATGGGAGTTAATTATCCTGTGTGATATGCTTTGTCATTCTTACTTGTCTATTTCATTGAAGTAAAATGTGAGGAGAAATTTGATTCAAAGATAATAATGCTCTGAAATATTCCAGTTTTAAATAAGTGCTGTTGTTTGTCAATTTCAAAAAATCTATAAAAAAGCCTATACTACAGTTTTTACAAAGATTTTGGACAGCACTACCATTTTCCCTCATGTGCTTTTAAAGCTATTTGACTTTCTTTCTTTTGTTCAATACAAAAAATGGATATTTTGAAGAATGCTGGTTGCTGGCACCCATTGATGTCTATATTAGGAATGAAATACTGTATAAAATGTCAATGGGTGCCAGCAACCAGCATTCCTCAAAATATCTTCTTTTTTTGTTCAAATAGGATTTGAAGAAATGAAGGGTGAGTAAATACTGGAAGAATTTGTATTTTTAGGTGAACCATCTCTTTAAGCACCAAATTAGCATGTGAGAATGATTTATGAAATCTTAGAGATATATTAAATTTATATATATATATATATATATATATATATACACATACACACAGTTGAAGTCAGAATTATTAGCCCCCTTTTGATTTTTATTTTCTTTTTTAAATATTTCCCAAATGATTTTTAACAGAGCAATAAAATTTAAAGTCTGATAATATTTTTTCTTCTGGAGAAAGTCTTATTTGTTTTATTTCGGCAAGAATAAAAGCAGTTATTAATTTTTTAAAAACCATTTTTGGGACAAAATTATGAGCCCCTTTAAGCAATTTTTTTTTCGATAATCTACAGAACAAACCATCGTTATACAATAACTTGCCTAATTACCCTAACCTGCCTAGTTCACCTTATTAACCTAGTTAGGCCTTTTAATGTCACTTTAGGCTGTATAGAAATGTCTAGAAAAATATCTAGTCAAATATTATTTACTGTCATCATGGAAAAATTTAAATAAATCAGATATTAGAAATAAGTTTTTTTAAACTATTATGCTTAGAAATGTGCTAAAACAATCTTCCCAGAACAGAAATTGGGGAAAAAAATAAACAGGGGTGCTAATAATTCAGGGGGGCTAATAATTCTGACTTCAACTGTATTTATATATATATATATATATATATATATATATATATATATATATATATATATATATATATATATATATATATATATATATATATATATATTTAAACATACTATTTTCTAATATTGCAGCTTTAAAAAAAATAATAATAAAAAAAAAATATATATATAAAAAAGCTGCAATATTATAAAATAGTATGTTTCAATTTTATATATATATATATATATATATATATATATATATATATATATATATATATATATGTTTAAACATACTATTTTATAATATTGCAGCTTTTTCCTCAGTAACTTTGGTGGGAAAATGCAGCGTTGGTGAGAATAAGTAATGGCAATGCAACAAACAAAACAAAACAAGCCACATTATATACAGTGCCCAGCATAATTGAGTACACCCCATTTTGAGAGTTAATATTTTTATCAATTTCTCAGTGAATATAGCTAATATAGCTGAATACAGCTACATAATATATAGCCAATATAACAATGTAGCATATAACAATATATTATAATATATCATCTCATTTTTATCAGTTTTTCCGGGGCCGGGTCGCAGGGGCAGCAGTCTTAATAGAGAACCCCAGACTTCCCTCTCCCTAGACACTTCCTCCAGCTCCTGTGGGGGATCCCGAGGCATTCCCAGGCCAGCTGAGAGACATAGTCCCTTCAGCATGTCTTGGGTCTTCCCACGAGGCCTCTTCCCAGTTGGACATGCCTGAAACACCTCCCTAGGTAGGCGTCCAGGAGGCATCTGAAACAGATGCCTGAGCCACCACAGCTGACTTCTCTTGATGTGGAGGAGCAGCTGCTCTACTCCGAGCTCCTCCCGGGTGACAGAGCTGCTCAGCCTATCCATAGGAGTGCGCCCTGCCACCCTGCAAAGGAAACATTTCGGCCACTTGTATTCGAGATCTTGTCCTCCTTCTTTACCACAACGAACCGGTACATTGACTGCATTACTGCTGCCACTGCACTGATCCGCCTGTCAACCTCGTGTTCCATCCTTCCCTCACTCGTGAACAAAACCCCAAGATACTGGAACTCCTCCACCTGGGTTCAGAACTCTCCTCCAACCTGGAGGTGTCAAACCACCTTTTTTCTGGTGGAGCACCATGGCCTCGGACTTGGAGGTGCTGATCATTTATAAAAACAATATTTTAGTCACCGAACATCTTTAGAAATTAAAATATAATCAATTTAAATTCATGCAAAATATTGCAAAACATACACACCACAAAGTTTCAACAAAATGTTATAAATTTTATTTATCTTGATTTTTTTTTTCTCTTTTAAATTTTTTACATTTAAAATTTTACCTGGCATAAATTTTTGGACCATAATCAAAAGCTCCAGATTTGGCTTCAGTGGTGACTAATCTAATGTATATATGCAAATATTGTTATATTATATTATATATATAGTGCACTATAGCACCTTAAGAGGTCAGAGGAGTGAGATTTACCTGAATAGCACTTCACTAGCTGGCCTCTATTACATGTGAGGGCTCGTCCGGGATGGAAGTGAGGTTTAGGGAGATGAGTGTAACGGAGGCCAGCTAGTGAAGTGCTATATAGGTAAACCTCACTCCTCCGACCTCTAAATGTGCTCTGATGACAGATGTTACAGGTTATGGTCTTTAGCCTTCTTGTTAAAACAACCGACTCCCATTCAAAGAGTCACTGGTTCGATCCCAGCTCAGAGCCTGTTGCGTGCAGTAGGACCGGTAGATTACAAGTGTAATGGAGGCCAGCTAGTGAAGTGCTATGCAGGTAAACCTCACTCCTCTGACCTCTAATGATGCTCTAGCGACAGACGCCATGGTCTTTAGCCTCCTTGTAAGAGCAACCGACTCCTATGCAAAGAATCGCCGGTTCGATCCCAGCTCAGACCGGAATTGGGGACAGTAGGATCAGTGGGCTACACTTGGGGGCTCGTCCGGGATGGGATTAAGATTTATGGAGGGGAGTGTAACAGAGGCCAGCTAGTGAAGTGCTATGCAGGTAAACCTCACTCCTCTGACCTCTAAATGTGCTCTAGCGACAGACACTAGAGGCCATGGTCTTTAGCCTCCTTGTAAGAGCAACCGACTTCCATTGCAAATAATCGCCGGTTCAATCCCAGCTCAAAACGGAATTGGGGACAGTAGGATCAGTGGGTTACACTTGGGGGCTCGTCCGGGATGGGATTGAGATACATGGGGGTGAGTGTAACGGAGGTCAGCTAGTGAAGTCCTATGCAGGTAAACCTCACTCCTCTGACATCTAAATGTGCTCCAGCGGCAGACGCTAGAGGTCATAGCCTTAAGCCTCCTTGTTAGGCTCTCATACAAAGAATAATTTTAAGCTCTGACATGCACACAATTATTAAACTTAAAATTACCACAGAACCATAAAAGAGCATCAGTTTAGAAATACCAACATCCCCTCATGTATTTCTCCATTCCCCTAAATGCACATTTTAAGACAAGGCATTCAAATTACCAAGCTTAGAGCTTATATACACACACGTTTACCTTAATTAAAGACCTTAATGGTTATGCACAGTACACCAGTGCACGGTTATTAAAAAAAGACAACTAAATTCATTTTAAATCAAGTACACCCAGGCCAGCTAATGGAAAGATCTGTCTGAATGAAATGACTCCATCAGACAGCTACAGTGGTATCTGTGAACATCCTCAGCCTATGTAAAATTAGCTCTGTGATTGACAGAGCTCTGATGCTAACAGACGGCGTTTAGGCCAACATTGCCATCAAGCAGCAAAATCGCCCAGTGACAGATCACAAGCCCTCTCAGATGTTTACAATTAGGGCTGTCGACTTCAGGCAGCGTCACATTGCATAGTGGCCGACCCTGGAGACCTTTAGTCCTGCGTCCCGCATTGGAGAAGTGCTGTTTTTCCAGCATGGAAGAAACGGCCTCGTCTGCTGTGTTTTGGGAGTGAGTCAGTGGCCTATTACGACCTGCCGTCTTACTCATCGTAACTGAGGGATCAGTTTTGACAACGGTGATCGTTTTTTTCCATTCAATAAAGCAGGAGGCAGATGTGCTCCAACACAGCTGGTTATTAGCCGAACACTATCAGCCGTGACACATACACACATTACTTCTGGCTAACACTCTTCCCCTTGTTTTCTACCAGCGATTGTGTGTTGCGAGGGAATTTGTGCGATTAAAATCTATATAGGACTGCTACCACTTGGTTTTTAGCCACATCTGTAAGCTTTATTTAGCTATGTTTCTATCCATCTATTTGTATGCACATTTTGGTATATGCCAGAGTTGGATAAACTTTCTATCTGATGAGGAAAAAAATGGCATAAACTACAATGAAAGCACATTTAATGAATAAACTGCAGAATGTGCATTAAAAAAGTCATGTGATTTTTGTATTACCAGATTATGTGATGAAATTTATGGACATTTATGAACAATCCAGTGGACTGACCACATTGTAAAACATCTAGAATGTTATTAAATCCCTCAGCCAAAGTTTGTCATCACAGTGGTTTAGTATTATTCATTCAATCAGTCATTCCTTTCTTTTCGGCTTAGACCCCTTTTTATTCAGGGGTTGCCACAGCGGAATGAACCGCCAACCTATCCAGCATACATAGATATATACACTAGATGTCGCCTGGCCTATTGTTGTCTATTGGACGGAATGCGTCAATAGCGCCGCCATCTTGCTACAGGGTAGCGCTCCTTTGAAATGAATGCGGGACCAAAGTACAGTGGAGGACTGTGGCCATGCAAAGCCAGAGATATACACATATACACATATATCTATGATCGGGAGTTTTCCTGGATGTTAGTATGTAATTTTTTTTTTCTAATTATGAAAATTATAATTTTACATCACTTTTCTA